AGGGGTACATTGTTTTTTTTTTTCACTTGTTTCATTCATATCCGTCTCTTTGTGACCCCATTTGAGATTTTCTTGGCAGAGACACTGGATTGGTTTGCCATTTCCTTTTCCAGCTCATTTTAGAGATGAGGAAACTGAGGCAAACAGGGTGAATTGACTTGTCCAGGGTCACACAGATAGTGTCTGAGGCCAGGTTTGAACTCAGGAAGATGAATCTTGTTGCCTCCAAGCCGGGCACTCTATTCACTGCGCCACCTAGCTGAACGACTACCATATAATGCTGTTGGGGAACTGGAAAAGTATTAATAAGTAGCATAGTAGCATTTATTCAAGTCAGCTATTGAGAAATGAAAAAAATCCATTTTAATTTTTACATATATAGGCTTTCTCTGATATCCAGGTAACTCTGGGCTTTCGAACGCAATGCCAGTGGATGATGGACTGTGACAGTGGCTTTGGAATTGAAAAGCATGTAGTGTGGATGCCCTGAGGGCTGATGTGTTTCTTGCCATAAGGCCAGCATAACTAGGTGTGGTGACTACTAGGGTAACTTTAGAGTCATTATTATTATTTGTGGTGATGGTGGTGGTGGCGGTAGCAGTAGTCATAGTAGGAGTAGTAGGAGTAGTTGTCATCATAGTAGTAGTATTGACACAGTGACTTTGAGTAGAAAGGTTGTCAACCATGTTAGCACAGATCTCTCAATTACTGAAGTAATTTCTTAATAGTAGTCTCTCTTACTTAAAAGGCCAGGAAATGAGGACTGAAAATCTAAGATATAACCAGCACAATCCCTGGACACAAATCTTTGTCCATTTATGACAGATGAGAACAATTAACCAGGAGAAAGAAGAGGCTCCAAACTGAAGAAAAATAGAATTTAACATATAATAAAGCAAATTCTGGGACTTATTTTATATTACCTGATAAATTTTAATACAATGAAGTTATTGCAACCTGTAATTTAGTATTTTTTCTCAACATTCATTCAATAAGCCTTTTTTTAAACTGTCTACTTAGTATACAGCTCTACATTAGTTTCTAGGGGTATAAGGACAATTTTTTAAAAATCCTTGTCCTCCAGGAGCTTATATTCTCCCATTCTCTATAGTAATTTCTTAATGGGAAAAAACTACATTTGAATCCTTGCTTTAATATTGGTTTTATATTTAGTTCAAATCTCCCAGTTGGCTCTAGGCACATGGAAATAACAGTCTCCATGTACGTAGAGAAAAACAGGGCTTTCTTCCTGTATTCTTGTGTCCCACTGTTGGTAGTCATTACTTGATTCATCACCACTTACAAATGATGGTTCAGAGATTGTATATATATATATATATATATATATATATATATATATATATATGTGTGTGTGTGTGAGAGAGTGAGAGAGAGAGAGAGAGAGAGAGAGAATGTGCATATGTGTACTGGTTATAATTATCTTTATACTAGGTCACAGTGACTATGGAGAACATGTCCCAAATACACAAAAAATAAAGTCCTTTCAGGCCCCATTTTTCTTCTCTCATACCCATATTTTTAGGGCCCCAAGGATGACGTGAATTGAAATGACACAGTCATATTCCGCATCAGCATGACATCTGTGCCATGCTCCTTGCCTCTTTGAAAAGAAGTAGGAAATCTAAATACAAAAAAACAAAAAAACAAAAAGCAAAACAAAGCAAAACAAAGAAACCCTTCCCCATGTGTATGAACTGGGAGGTGTTTGCTTCTAAAAGTCTACCCCTGATGAAAATTAAGAGTATGAGGTCTCATAATGATTAACTTGATTTTCTTTGTCATCTTGATCAGATTCCCCCTTTGATTTCTTTACTGATTTACCCTTAAAAAAAGAATGGAGAGGAAGAAAGTAGTACAAAAGGCTCATTTCATGGAACTATGAAGCGTAATTAATAGCAATTATTATAAACTACATTGGGAAATATTAAGTGTCATGTAAATGGTGACAATAATGATTATCTTTGCAAAAATGGTTCTGACAGTATTTGTAAGAATTGCTCCTTTGTGATGCTTCCTTCTAGTACACTAGGGCATTCTTTGTTTCTCAATAAACAGTGGGTCTTAGAATAGTAAGTCCAGTAGGTGAATGGTGGAACAGGCTTAGATTTTTCAGACTCCTGTTTTCATTTTCAAATAACAATGCAATCTAAAAATGGAAAACTACCTAAAGAGTGAATTTGGAACAAAATTAAATCCATATTTGCATACAAAACAATCATTACTTCTTAGGAAGTCATTAGTACCTCAATCACTGAACCAGAAGAATTAGGGCATGTCTGTTTTCAGTAATGGAGGAATTTATCTTTGCATAAGGAACTGAAAGTTACTGCAGACTAGCTTCAACTAAACAGGTTATTGGGATTTTTAAAGTTATATGTTTTATGTCTTTAAAAAATCTTTCTAAAGAATTTAACAATATAAGAATTCAATGCTCTCTAAGACAAACGTGATTTACTTTTTTCACATATAGATATATGTGTGTACATGCAGACTTGTCTCCATTTAATCACAGCTAGACATTTATAATTAAAAGTTAGTGCTCTTTGAATAAAAATCCTGTTCCTTAGACTGGTTGGATAAAATCTGAAATAAACCCAAAGGTGACATTGACAGGATGATGTTGTAGAAAATTTTCCTGCCCACAGTCTGTGATTTCCCACAAAGCAGCTAAATAGGTGCCTATTTTCGGTAACTGCCCTTCCAGATCATCCTCCAAGGACAGTTCATGTGGGTGTTATTTGCATGCAATTTAAAGTAGTAAATGTAGACACATGGTCCGGGTAGCTGTCTCACTGCCAAGGAGTCATCACAATGCATGCTGAGGCATCTTCCAAGAGACATGGCAATGTAGGCCACAGGTGTCCCCAGAGTAACTAAAAAAATAAACAAATCAAGGAATAAGGGAGAATTTCAACGGCTACCCAAAGTTAAGAGTAATCCTCCATCTCTGTTTACTATGTGGGTATTCCTGTTATTTAAGTTGTCATTTACAGCTGAAGTCTTCTTTGGAGTTTCCCAGAGGAGTTGCAGGAAGGACAAATAAACTCGTTGATAACATCTATTCATATCTGGGGATGTCCCTGGCAGGTTTTGTCCAAATACTCTTTGGATATTAAAAGTTAGTGTTTCTGAAGTTTTGTCTCTGATTATTAATATCCAATAGAGTGTTCTTGCCCTGGACTGAAACATCAAGATTTTCTAGAATCCTCACACCTTCATTCACCCATCTACTAGCAAGTTGGCATGTTTCTTGCTCCTGGGATCTGGAAAATAGACACATGCTGTGAGAACACCTGCTAGATATCAGTATAATCTACAAATTTTCATTCTTTATCTTTCTTTTGAGAATCTGACCTAAATCCCACAGTAAAATATTTTAGAACTTGTCACCCTGTGATGGGTTTGTTGGCCCTAGGGAGAATTAAAAAAAAAAAAAGATGGATCCTACCAGCGAGAAAATACTTAGCTTAGTTTTCCATTCAGCCTTAGAAAATACTGCTGATATTTAATGTTTGACAAACACTAAAGGTTTTTTAGCTTTTTTTCCCCAGCTATCAGAAGCCAGTCTCGTGGACATTCATACTTATATGCGTTGTGTGGTTTGTCTTTCATTCTCAAAGGGGACCATGACATCAGGGAGATGATGACATGACTTGCAATTGACTTAGATTTGAGTGAGGGAGGGCTGTGCAAAGTCACCAGCCTCACTTTCTCCTCTAGTCATAAATGAAGAATGATGTTGATTTGCGAAGGTAAGGCTTGGTATTTGGTACTTAACGAGTGCCTCTTAAATCACAATGTATTCTGATAATTTCATTTTTTTAGATTAAAGATAAGAATAACAAAGGAAAGTCTATAAAGAATTATTTTGCTATCTTAAGAGACTGTGAACACGTGTTAATCACCATGGCCTATACAGTGCTTAGAACATCCCTGATACCGATTACATAGGTATTCAAGCCGTTTAGATTTGTTTTAAAAAAGACATTTTTTATAATCTAGTAATCAATGTATCAAAGGGTATTTGATACAAATACTAAAGTTCTCCAGAAGAAAATCAATGTCTAATACAGTGCCTTAAACATAATAAGCGTTTGTTAAATATTTATCAGATGAAAGAAATAACAAATGTATTGTAGGATGTATAACCATTCTACACTCTAAGTTATAAATTCACCTCATGCATGACATCTTTTACCTTTAAGTTCAGAGTTCTAATTGTATTCTTAGAGTCAACTGATTTAGGTTGATTTTTTTTTCAAGTTGACTGAGAAGTCAGAGAACCTGGTTTCTAAGTCTGGTTCTTTATTTTATTACTTCTATTAACTGGGACAAGTTATTTAGCTGCTCTGGACCTCAGTTTCCTAATCTGTATAAGTAGAAGGTAGGGCAACATGGCCTTTAAAAATCCCTTCTATCCCCAATTTTATGATTCTAACAAGGACTCATATAGGAATTTTTTATGCAAGTGACCTCGGATATAGTGATCTGCCACATAAAATATAAACAATGTGGCTAAGGGAAAGAAAAAACTGATAGTAGGGACTGGGCATCTGCAAATAGAAGGATATCCTCGATTGATCTAATTTTATTCTATGGCTATGAATTACTAACATATACATGTGGAAATGATGGAATTGATGGCTTCAATGGGTTCATCTGGTTATAACTGAAGAAAAAAAGTTTTAAATATTTCTGTAATACAAGACTATGAGTTAAAGAGATTCTCAAAAACACCAAAGATAAATCATAAACTTGAGGTTAAGTATTCCATTCTTTCTGTAGCATCTCATGAGGGGAAAATAACTAAATAAACTGCAGGTTATCTGAAACAACTTCATTTCTTTATTTTCCATAAAAGCCTATAGGCAATTTGAAAACTGACTTTCCCTGAGAAGTTTTCTCAATAAATGCTACAGTTATAGCAATTAAAATAACAGCTTATCAGGGGAAAAAAGAGCATTTGTCAAATCTCTTACTGCAGCTTGCCGATGGGTATTGGACAAAATCCCATGAATCTTCACTTTATCTTTTTCCTTTTGGTCCATGTTCACCCACAAATCCCGGCTGGCAGAGTCAAATGGCCCATATATCCTGGAAATATAGTAATTATGATCTGTATCCTCCTGTAACAGTGTAGAGAGAGAGAGAAAAAAACACAAATGTATTAAAAAAGAAACAATTCCGAGACAATTAGGATAAATGTCTTTGAATTTAGAAGGCTTGTTATTCCTCACAGTGACTATGGGGATTCCATTATTTCAGAGGCGAGTGAACTAAGAAGCACAACATACAAACTAGAAATCCTTTATGGGAAATAGCTGAAAATAAACAAGAAGCAGATGCAAATGCGTTCTCTGTGTCCAAAAATCTTATGAGAAATATTTGTGTTATCTCTGCTGGCTCTCCAAATGTAGGAAAGGTTCTTGGGGAAAACACCTAGTGAAATCTAATCACAGTTAGTGTTGACTTCCAGGTAAGTGAAAATCAGTGAATGCTCCATGGCAGCCTCTCTGCTTTAATAATATCAATATGTAGTCGGCTTTTAAATAATGGTTTTGGAAATGAAGGGATTCTTAACAACCTTTTTTTGTGCATTAACTGTGACTTTTTGTTTGAATGCTCATTAACAATAGTTACAGCACCCAACATCAAGTTTGACATGTAATTCCTCCATTGTACCCAACCACTTAAAGCAGAGCTCTGAATATTAAAAGGAATATCTCTGCTGAGAAGCAATTCACCAATATTACAGGTGCTAACCAACTTTCTTGTCAATTATTCTCCCAATTGCAAAATTTCTTTTAAAAAAATCAACTAATTCAACAAACATGTATTAAGTACCCACTATCTGCTAGGTATATAAGTATCCACATGCTAAAAATACAAAGAGAAAAATGAAACAGCTCCTGTTTTAAAGGAAGTGACTCAGATGGAGAAGGACACTATCTCCTCTATATCTTGTTATCACCTTTGCAGGAATATATATTAAACCTAAACCCTAGGAACCAAAATCACATACAAAATGTTTGGCATTTAAAACTTATCCCAGTCCTGACTCATCCTTTTTCCAGCTTTCTTAAACATTATTCTCCCTCATCTTTTTTGTATTCCAGTCAAACAGGCCTTATTGTTCCTTATGTGAGATGCTCCATTTCCCGATGATTTGGCATTAGCTATCCCCAAGGTCTAGAATGCATCGCCATATCATCTATTCCTCTTAAAATCTCTCATTTCTTCCAAGACAGAATTAAACTCACCTTCCATATGAGACTTTCCAAATCTTGACAGCCACTAGTGTCTTTTCCACCCAAATGATGCATTGTACCTATTTGTGTATACCCACATTGTGTACACCTATTATCTTCTCCAAACTTTCTTAAAGGGCAGGGGCTGTTGTGATTTTGTCTTTATCTCCAGTTCCTGGTTGCTCCAACCAGGCACTGGACAGAACATGTGAATAAGTAAATAAGAGATAATTTGTAGAGGGAAAGACTACTGAATCCTTATAAGGAGTTGGACAGGAATTCAAGAAAGGCTTTCCATTGGCGGTAGTTACTGAACTGAACCTTTGAGGAAAGTACAATCTATAAGAGGCAAAGGTGAGAACGGAATCTATTTCTAGGCCTGATGGATCCTGGTTATGAAGGACAATCTGTGTAAATACAGAGATATGAAATGGAATGTCAGGTTTGGGGAATAGGCCAGTTGGACTGCAACCTGAAGTACACAAAGAAAATAAAGGTTATGAAGTTAAGAGAGAGCCAAACTTTGGAGGGCTTTAAATACTGGGTTGAAGAATTTGGAGTTGATCCTTGAGACAACAGACAATGGTCAAAGATTGGTCAGCAGGTGAAAGACATGGTTAGACTTACGTTTTAGGAATAAAAATTTGGCAGCTATGTGGAAAATGGATCAGAATAGGGAAATAATAGAAACAAGAGGACCAGCTGGGGGTTGTTGCAACATAGACAACAGGTGTTGTTAGCTTAAATTACCATTGTGAATGAATAAAGGTGATTGATGAAAGAGATGTTTGGGAGAAAAACATGCATGACGGCAACAATTTCATAATCATATCCATATTTGGCCCTAGTGCTGAGTTGCAGATGCTAAGATTACTTGTGTAATCATGGGAAGCTGGTTAGAGGCTCTCCACCCTTGTTCTTCCTTGTCATGGTGACCAGCCCAGTGTGGCAGAGGTGACTCATCTACATGGAAAGCCCACCCCCCCAAATTATTTTTGTACCTCTAAACAATTCTTTCTTGTCCAACATGAGAAGGTGCCCATCTTATGCCCACCTAATCAGTGGAGAATGCCTTATGTTTCACCCATCTTATAACTACTTCATGATCACCTAGTTGGTGGAAATATTCCTGCCTGTCTCAACCTGTGACCCTGCTGATACATCGTTTTGCTTATTTTATCCTATATATCATAAGTCAACCAGAAGAATTATTTTGTATCTGGTATAGCTGTTCTTGAATGTTTAGATTTCAAGACCTATAAAAATAGGGCTGTAGAAGGAGGGGGCATCTCAGACCATGAGGAAGATCTGAGGTCCACTTCATTGGAGGGGGACCATAGACCCTTTAATGAAATGCCATTGGCTCACCTCTCTGCCTCAGTTTCTCTTATTACAGGATGCATAATTTTTATCTGCACATAAAAATGAAAATATTTTACTAATAATTAAATGCTGACTACTGAGAACAGGGACAGTGTGGTATAGAGAATGTGGTATAGTGCTGGACCTAGAGTCAGAAGAAACATGGATTTGGTTCCTGCATTACAAATATGGAGCATAACATGCTTGCTAAGACACAGTTTCTCAGCTCCAGTTTCTTAATTCATAAAATAGAATTAATATCCATAGTGCCTATTTCATAGGACAGTTTTTCAGCTCAAATGAAATAATATATGCAAAGTGTTTCTCAAGCCTTAAAGCCTAAATAAACGGAAGACTTTCAGGCTATACAGATAAACTAGGTACAGTGTTTTCTCATTTTGCCCCTTTCTAATGCCATTATATTGCTCATTAGACAATGACAAAGGGAAAAGAAAGTTCATTACACTCAAATTAATCACTGTTGCCAATTATTACTAGCTCTAGTTAAAAAAAAATGTTGATGGGGAAGAGGTTGAAATTATTGACAAAAGGAAGCTTTAGGATCATTTCTGGATTGCATTGCTCTATCCTGGTCCCTCTCACATCAATATATAAATGGCCCTATGTGGAAGGTGGACATGCATAATGCTTTCTCTTTTATTTTCATTCATCTGAAACAGTCCCCTTAGGATGCTGCCATCAAGAGAAGGGGCAGTACTAACATATATGTTGCATGGGGCTTTAACTGGATGTAGTGATGCTTTCTATACTAGTAGTATTAGTCTGAATTAGTCTCAGAGGCTAGAGGTGGGGTGGAGGAAAGTGCGACATAAGAAGAAGGAAGAAGAGAGTGACTTCCCTGTTCCAGGGCTCAGAGATTGCCCTGAGCAAAATTTTGAAATGGATGAAATGTCTTTGGCTCCTTCCTTTAACTGTCTTCTACAACTTCATGATGATTGCTTCAGACACTCACACTCCTTGCAACTCTCGGCATCCCAAATTGTGCTGCCTTCACTCAGCCCTACCCTGATCCTCAAAATTACCCCCGTGTCTCTTCTACCTCATTAAAATCCCCACATGTTTTGTACAGCTGGATATTAGAAAAGTAGGACTGAACCAACTCACAGTCACATGTTGGTGACAATTAGGCCCTTATCTCTCACAAAGGTATTTCCATTTTTTAACACATTGATAATCAAAATTAAGAAATCTCTGATAGTCAGATTTTCAAGTAGACCATCAAAAAGAAATGGGGAAACAATTAGTTGGGGTAGTAAAAGACATCCGGAAATAGCAGTCAGTAGCAGACAGAGCTGCATGACATCTTCCCCATTCCCCTTCCACCTTCCAGCTACTTATCCTGTTACCTGGTCTTTAGAGTTTTTGCATTTTAATCTTACAACGACCCATTCATTCTAAACTCACAGATTTATTAAAATCAAGTTTTCACGGCAATAAATTCTCTGGCTTTTTGATGGTATGAAAGTCAGAGTAATGATAGAAAAGGAGAGTCAAGGCAATTAACATTGACAGATTTTTCTCAATAAGTAACACTCATACAATATGTGAAGTATAGAGTCTGTTATTTTGTTCACAATTAATTGTTTACAGTGTCTGGCACATCATAGATACATAATAAATGATTATTTATTAATTCATTATTGGTTAATCTGATACTACAGCAACAAGTCTTATACCTTCATATTATCTTCCATATATTTCCAAGATAATTTAAGATAAATGTCTGACTGTATCACTATCTAGCTTATAAGTCTCAAATACCTCTCTATTTTCTTTAGGATAAATTCAAATGCCTCAGTATAGAAACTAGAAAATTACATAGTCTGGATCTTACCCAACTCTCCTGTCTTATTCATATTATTCTCATTCATGTACTCTCCATTTTATCCAGGCTGTACTAACTCATCCTCCACTTCTGTGCATTTTCACCAACAATTCACTCTCCCTAGCATCCATTACCTCCTCCTCATTGCCTTTTAGAAGCCTCAGATACCTCTAGGGACCTTTATATAATCTTGTTAGCTCATAATCTTCTCTCTTCAAATAATCTTTTATTTCTATACATGTTGTATCTACTCCATTCCCCTTCCACATCTTCCCATAGAACCTAAGCTTCTTGGGCTTAGGTGTAGTTAGGTTTTATTTTTCCTACAGTGCCTTGAATTCAGTAGGTGCTTAATAAATTTTGATCAATTTTGATGAGCCATTTACTGAATGGGTTGTCTTGCCTGGACATTTCAATTGGTCAATGTTGCTTCTCTAGTAAATTTTGCGCCTCTGTAAAATAGACTCTGAACTTTCAGCATTTCAATTAAATGATTAGGAATATAATGGTTACTCTTAGTCACAAATACTTTTCCTTTTGATGGAGGAATCATGTGTTCCCATAGAAGCTCACTGAGATAGGTATTTGAGGGCTTTCCAGCCACACACATCTCTGCCTCTGTCATTCCCTTCCTCATATGGGAACCCAAGAGAATATTTTTTTCCTTTGG